CGGAGGGCCCCGCCCTTCTGGTGCTTCGGTGGCTCTGCGTGCGGCGGGGGGTTGGGGCTCCTTGTGCACTGGCGTGGTGGGCGGAGGGGGCCCCGGCGCGCAGCGCCTCGGCGCCTGTGGTCCGCTCGGCGCGGCGGCCACCACCGCAGGCGACGGGGTCAGTGGAGAAGGGGTCCCCACCCCCCTCCTCACGGAGTTCCCCCGGAGCCCCAGCGGGTCGGGGCCCTCCGAGGCAGGGAGGCACGGGAAAGGGTGTGGATGCGGGGAGACACGTGCCCGGGGGAGGAGGCAGCGGCGGCTCGGGCCGTAGCGTTTTGCGACCGGCTCCCCGGTTTTGCAGCTTGGAGAAAGGGTGCAAGCTCCAGGCGCCACTTTGGAGTGCGGGGTGGTGCGGCCGTGGCGAGTTCTAGTTACTTAGAACGAAGTGGGCGATCCTAAGGGAAGTGTGGGAGAGACTTAGCAATTAGGCTCGTGATAGGCGATTTGCCACACTACAGGGTGACGGTGTCGTTCCACGACTTCGTTAAAGGGGTTCTTGGAGAGGGACGCTTTCACTGCACTGGCTCCGTTGCCCAGAACGGAAAGAAAGTGGGCACGGTTTGTTAGCTGTGGTTTTGACCTAAGGTTTGATACTTTGTTTTAGAAGTTAAAACAAAGATGGAACAGACGCTTTTTAAGGCCCTGTTTCTCTTTTCCTAGGGTGTCTTTTATGAATAATCAAAAGCAGCAAAAACCAACGCTATCAGGCCAGCGTTTTAAAACCAGAAAAAGAGGTAAATATCTACTAATCTCCCTTAAGCCTTCAGACATTTTGTATCTCGGTTTCTCTCACAGTCAGTCAACTGTATATTACTAAACCTCAAGAGAAAATAGCAGAAACGAGTTTCTAGTTAGCTGCTTGTAGAATATGGTTCCCATTGTAATTTTTTTTTAAAGTGTTTCAGATTTTCTCCCCCCCCCCCCCCCAGGGTTTCTCTGTGTTTCTTTGGAGCCAGTCCTGGAACGAGCTTTTGTAGACCAGGCTGACCTTGAACTCACAGAGATCTGCCTGCCTCTGCCTCCCGAGTGCTGGGATTAAAGGCGTGCGCCACCATTGCCCTGCAAGGGTTTCAGATTGTAGCTCAGGCTGGCCTCCGAATGTTGGCACCAAAGGCATGAGCTCTTGCTGGCAATGCAATTTGAGGTTTGAAGCAAGGGCTCTGTCTTTAATCCCAGCACTTAGGGGACAGAGACAGAGGCAGGCAGATCTCTTGTTCAAGGCCAGGCTGATCTACAGACTGAATTCTAGAACAGCCAGGGATAAACAGAGAAACCCTGTTTCAAAAAACTTAATCAACCAAACGAAAGGTTGAAGTGGTGTTCTCGGAAAACCCACATTGACTAGGCATGGTGGCACATCTTTAATTCTGGCAGTGGAGAGCCCAGTAAATGAAGGTCTGTTCAGTGAGTTTTAGACCAGTTTGAGCTATGTGATGAGACTCTGTCTCAGGATTTAAAAAAAAAAAAATTGAAGCACACATTAACCTGTTGAATGGTTTGTAGGAAACTGAGACTGCACTGACTACTGGTCTTAGGCGTCTGGTTTCCCACCTTTCATAGACGGTTTGACGTACACGTGATAGTATTTTTTTTGTGCTCTTCACACTTTGTCCCCCTGTGATAAAGTCGAAGTGTATCTTGTTCTAGTCTTTGTAGGTGTAGGTTTAGCAAGTGAATGGTCTTCAAAGCAATTTGTCAGTAATGAAGAAAAGTATGTATTCTCAGAGTTTGTAGATTTCTGGCTTCCTCCTAATATAATTGATAGTAACAAATGACTTTTATTAGTAGTATCTGGGAGGTGTTGCTTCCTTAAGGTCAGATAAAGATCATTCACGCCTGGTGTGTTGAGGCATGTGCCCATGTGCCCGTAAGACTGAGGCAGAAGTCACCATCGGTGACTGGAGGAGCCTAGGATACAGAAGACCCTCTTTTAAGCCCTCCCCCTGCGCCCCCCCCCCAAGAACAAAAGTAACAACAGCAAAAAAGAAGAAGAAGAAGAAGGATCTTTGGCCTCCTGGTTCAGGGTATAATCATCTGGGACCTAAGGGAGTTTTGAAGGCAGGGCTTTCAGTAAAATCAAGAAAAAAATAATTTCTTTATCTAGTAGTATATTAAAAAAATCAGCTATCTAGCCTCGGCTGGCAAATGTGAGAATTCAGATGCTGTCACCAGGCATAAATTGGCAAAGCAGGAAATCACAGGGCAGGGGTCGCCTGTCAGTGAGGGCCAAGACTCACAGAAACTGAGGCGAATGAGAACTAAGGGAATGTAATGTAGATGCTGAAGACGGCTGGTTTGGGCCTGGAAGAGATGTGTTCCTGTAGAGTGTCTGGGTTGGATTTCGTTCCGGTGGATTCTCCACGCAGCCTGGCTGTCCTCAGGCTCACACACCCGCTGCCTTTGTCCTGAGTGTTGGGATTGAAGGTGGATGTCACCATACCCGGCCCAACAATGAAGTGTTTAGACTTCAGGGCGCATAACTACTCTAAACTACTAGCCAGTGTAGTCTTTCAGTTGTGTAATTTCCTTTCTGAAAAGATTGACCTCTTAAGCTTATTACTGTGTTTAAAGCCAGATGAATAGTTAGATTGAAAAGAAAAGCCAAAGTGTTGTGGACACATAAAAGGGGAAGGACTGGAAAGATGGCTCAGCGGTTAAGAGCACTGGCTCCTCTTCCAGAGGATCCAGGTTCAATTCCCAGCCCCACATGGCAGCTCACAACTGTCTATAACTCCAGTTCCAGGTGATCTGACACCTTCACACCAGTGCACATAAAGTTAAATAAATCGTTAAAAGGGAGTGGGAAGAGAGAACCACCAAAAACTTAGAGAATACTATGGTCATGCATGCAGCTACGAAGCAAAACTTTGTCTCAAAACAACCAGGCAGTGGTAGTTCATGCCTTTAATCTCTAGTAGAGATTTAATCTGAAGGTAGAGATAGGGAGATCTCTGAGTTCAAGACCAGCCTGGTCTACATAGTGGGTTCCAGGGCAGTCAGGGCTATTAGAGACCCAGCCTGGGGAAAAACCAAAACAGAACTGGGGATGTAGTTTTGCAGAGTGCTTGTCTAGCATTTATAAGGCCCTAGAATCTGTCCCAGAGCTTAAGATATGGAAGTTGAAGGATCTTAAATTGAAGGTTGTAGTGAGTTCGAGGCCACCCTGAAGCAAGTGAGACGCTGTCTCAGAAACAACCAGAAAGGTACTGAGGAGAAAACTGAGAAAAGTGCTTGCCGCACAGCATGCAGACCTGCACTGGATCCCTGACCCACATGAAAGCCTGTGGCTCAGCATTGGTGAGGCAGAGACAGGAGGATCCTGGAACCTGCCAGCCAGCCAGCAAGGCTAAATCAGTGAGCTCCAGGTGCAGCGAGAGACTGTCTTATAAGATGGATACAAGTGAGGTGGATACCCACCTAATAGAGCTGGGGCTGGGCTGTGGAAATAACTCAGTAGCATAGCATATACAAGACTGGATTCTTTTACCCAGTTCTGTAGCAGGTGGAACTACAAAGTTAGGCAGATTACTGTAACCCTGTCTGGGGAGAGTGGGGGAAGTGGGGCGGCTGGGCGGGACTTGTGTACACATTTTCAGAGGAATAAAGTCTACATGGTATAGAAAGGCTAATGTTAGAGGATCTCACTAGATAGAGCAGGGCTGGGATTAAAGGCGTGTGTCTCCACAGCTGGTACGGGTTAGTGCTCAGGAGAGCAGCCTGTGTCCATGGGAGCAGGAAGCCCTAGTACATTTGGCTTGCAGAAGTGGAGCAGCCCCCTGGTACTGGCCAGATGGGCTGGCCTTGCAGAGGGGGACACTGAGTGTGATTAATCTTTCTCCTACCAAGCTTACTGGTTTCAAATCTTGGATACTTACCTTTTCCAGCTATCGAGTTAAACGAAACACAGTGATTTGGTTACCTAGCTTCATAAGGCACTGGTTGTGCCGGCTACGATAACTTTGTTCTCCTCTCTGCAGATGAAAAAGAGAGGTTTGACCCCACTCAGTTTCAAGACTGCATTATTCAAGGCTTGAGTGAAACTGGTACTGACTTGGAAGCAGTAGCTAAGTTTCTTGATGCTTCCGGAGCAAAACTTGACTACCGCCGCTATGCAGAAACACTCTTCGACATTCTGGTGGCCGGCGGAATGCTGGGTAAGTGTCTGGGTGTTGGGTGTAACACACAGAGGTAATGGAAAAGCCAGAATGAGCTTTTGACAAGCCCAGCGAGAGGGTGTGATTTGGTTTTAATGTGTCTACCCCTGTGGGCTGGGAGTTGGGAATTTTGAAATAGGGCTATTACTTAATATATCTTATTTTATGTGCATTGGTGTTTTGCCTGCATGTATTTCCATATGAGGCGTCAGATCCCCTGGAACCGAGTTACAGACAGTTGTGATCTGCCGTGTAGGTACTGGGGAATTGAGCCCAGTGCACTTAACCACTGAGCAATCTCCAGCTCAGCCCCCAAACCTATTAAAGTGTTTACTAAAGGAATTTTTGTGTGTGTGGAGGAGGAGTCTTTTTGAGATGCTTTTTCTATGCATCCCTGGCTGACATGGAGGTCACTGTATAGGTTAGGATGCCCTCGGGTTGACTAGACTTTTCCTCTTCCCCCCCCCTTTTGTTTTGGGGCATGGTTTCATTTAGGTAGCCCTACTGACCTTGAACTTGATACATTGCTGAGGGCTCTTATGTCTTCCAAGTACTAGGGTTAGATGCTTGGGCCACCAGGAGCAAGAAACTTTTCAAAGATTGTAAAGAGAATAGTAAGGTAAACATCTGGCCTGTTGTCTGACTTTGATGCTGTCAGCACAGTCTTCTTGGTCTAGGTCCTGCAGATGGCACACACCCACTGGCTTTTATCTAAGATAAGAGCTCACCTGGATGTAGCTCAGGCTACCCTTGAGCAGGAATTTCTCTTGTCTTAGTTTGCCTTCTTTATTTGTTAGAATATGGGAAATGGGACTTTGAGCCAGTTATGGTGGCATGTTGGTGATGCAGTTATTAGAAAGATCATGATCTGAGCTGAGGGGCAAGACCCTTCCTTAAAGGTATAGGTCATCCTCTGTGGAAGTTTAAAGAGTCATTCTCTGTGTGGAAAGTGGAATATAATCAAAACCAGATCTGAACACTTCCACTTGGCCTGTTTGGCACTATTAAATGGTTCATTCACTGCGTTTGTTTCACCAAACATTTGTACATTTATTTTGTATGTGCGTGTATGTGGGCGTGTGTAGATAGTAGGTTCCTGCGGGCTTGGTGGCGGCACCTCTGCTCGTTGTCTCTGCTCTACTCACACCTTGTTTAGTTGTTGTGCAAGTTCGTTTTATCTGTGCACACTGAGCCATCTGACCATTTGAAACTTAATTCATCTCCGAGTGCTACTGTTCTGCTTTACACTGTTACTTTGTTTTACATTAGAAATCCTTAGTAGTGTGTGGGGCTGAAATGCTCACCCATTTAAGATGAGGGCACTGCTGTTGACTGTTGACTGTGTCTCAGCCCCAGGTGGTACACTGGCAGACGACATGATGCGCACAAATGTCTGTGTGTTCGCAGCACAGGAAGACCTGGAGACCATGCAAGCGTTCGCTCAGGTGAGTGAGACTGTCCGTCATAGCTGCCATCCGTCTGGGTGACCCAGGGGTGGTCTGCTTGGTGTGGGTTACAGGTATTAAGATTTAAGGGTTTAGATCTTGATAACATATATTAGAAACTTCAGAAGAATAAAATAGAAAACAATTTTTTTTTTTTTTGAGACAAAAATCTTAGTATGTAGCCTTGCTAGCCTTAAACTCAGATCTGCCTTCCTCAGCAAACCCAGCCTTTGTTCTTTTCTCTCTTTTGGGTGGAAAAATTATTATGGAGTGTGCCATCGAGTGCAGGTGGCCATAGAGACCAGAGGCATCAGGTCCTCTCTGAATCCATAGTAACAGGCAGTAGTGAACTTGTCCGTGGTTAGTGCTGGGGAGCACACTCCTGTGAGAGCAGTGCATACTCTAACTTCCATGTTCACTCTCCAGCCCCAGATGTGCTCCTCTGGGATCACTCTCTAAGAAGGGTGCACGCTTTCATCCCAACAGCAGCAGGCATAGCTCTCTGAGTTCCAGGACAGACAACGATAAACCAGCTTGGATAACACATTTCTATACTCCCAGCACTTGAGAAGTTGCGGCAGGGGCTGGAAAGATGTCTCAGTGGTTGAGAGACTGGTCTTCTAGGACCGGGTTCTATTTCTAGCACCCACATGGCAGCTCACAACTGTGTCCCCCATTCCAGGGCCCCAAACCCATGGCAAAACACCAGTGCGCATTAAAAAAGAAAAAAATGAGGCAGAAGAATGGAGGGGAATTCAAGTATACAGTGTGTTCACTGCCAGCCTAGATAACATGAATGCCTGTTTGAGTCCCCTAGCCCACCTCCACACAAGGAAGATAGTGACTTGGATGTGGTCATTGGTGCCTGTATCCCTAGACTCAGGAGACTGAGATCAAAAAGAGCTAGGATGAACAGAAAAGCCAGTTTTCTGATTGGGATTGCCATATTGAGCCATTCTTTAGACCGTCTTGGCGTTTTGAAGAAAAAGTGAGTTCATTGATGCAGACTGGACTGGACTGGAGCTTACTTTGTACCCAACCTAGGCTCCAACTTAGGAACCCTTGGGCCTCAGCCTTCTCAGTGCATTCATCGTCATAGTTAAATCTTTGCTGCTTGTAAGCAGAGAACTTCTTGTATCTAGCCTGGAATTTGTGTCTGTGTCTAGGAAAATAGAACTATATTTTATGATGTTACTTTTGAGCAATAATTAGTCTTTGTTTAACATAAAGTTATTGGAGTGGTTTTAAGTGTTCTTAGTTTCATTATGTGGTGAGATTGTCCAGTAGAAAGGCTTCTTTTTGGTCCTAGAAATGTCTTTGATCTCTTTTAGGTTTTTAACAAGTTAATAAGGCGCTACAAATACCTGGAGAAAGGTTTTGAGGATGAAGTTAAAAAGGTACGAGGAGGAGTTGGGTGCAGCATGGCCTGTACTTAGCGTGTGCAAGACCAAGTTCAGTCTTCTAGCCCCAGATCAGAAAGGGAAAGGGACAGATGGGGAAATACTAAGTTCCAAGTCAGCCACGTGTTGGGTGTAGTTTTAGATGTTTAAGTAGGCTACTGTTGAAATCCAATTTGGGAGATCTGTTAGTATGCTGAAATATTTGAAATTCACACATTGTCACTTAGTGTTTGAAACAAATGGGTGTTGTGTTGAAACAAGTAGCAGTTAATAACCCAGGGATTAGCTGGGTGTGGTGGCTCACGCCTTTAGTCCCAGCACTCAGGGGCAAGTAAGATCTCTGTGAGTCTGAGGACAGCCGGGGTTACACACAGAAAGACCCTGTCTGAAAAAAAACTAAAGCAAATCTAGGGGTTGTTTAGAAGCTGGAGGGTGAAGGCATGAGATCTAAAGAGATTGCTTGTATTTGAGTCCTAATGCCAGATGCCTCATAATAAATGCAGCAGGAAGAAGTCTGACAAAGGGTTAATGAGCCTTATGATAGATCCAAATGTGAATGGGTGGGCCTCAGAGCTGATGTAGTTTCTTTTACTGCTTCTAGCAGAGTGCAAGGCTTTCTAACCTCACGTTTACCTGTTACAGTTACTGCTCTTCCTGAAGGGGTTTTCAGAGTCGGAGAGGAACAAGCTCGCCATGTTGACTGGAGTTCTTCTGGCTAACGGAACCCTTAACGCATCCATTCTTAACAGCCTTTATAATGAGAATCTGGTTAAAGAAGGTATTAGCTTCTGGCTGCTGTGAAAGCGTGGCTTACTGTTTGTGTGCCTGTGAGGGGTCTGTAAGCAGAGCGTATGCTTGGAGCTGGGAGGGGGTTCGCATGTTGCTTTGGTGATGTGTGCTTTGGGGTGCATGGAGTCTCTCGCTAGGCTGGCTGGTCATTGACCCTCCGTGTCCCTAAGTGACACTGTCATGCTCTACTGTTTTTCCTCCTCCTTAAACACGAGTTCTGGAGATTACCTCCTCGGGTACCTGTGGCCCTTAGTAAATTCTCTGAATTAGGCATGGTGTGCAGACCTTAATTCCATCATTTTGGAGACTGAGAGGAAAGATTGTGAATTTGGTATCAGAATGAAAATAACAAATCTATATCAAAAAAATTTAAGATTTATTTTTATGTATGTGTTAGTTTATGTGCACCACATGCATGCAGAAATCCTGGGTGACTAGAAAATGTTGGGTTTCCAGGAACAAAAGTTATGGGTGGCTATAAACTATGTAGGTGGTGGGATTCGAATTCAGTGCTCCTCACCATTGAACCAACTAGCCATCTATCCAGGCCCTTGAAAAGAAAACGTTTTCTTAAGCATTCCTTAGTGTGGGTGTGTCTTTAGAGTCCAGGTTGAAGCCAGGAGTTAAGGTGTGCTTTCTCCCAGCCGAGCCTTGATCCTGTCCCTACAGTCGTTCTCTTAAATGCCTATTTTTTTTTCCTCCATACTCCCAAGTTGCTGGGGATGTGAGGTTCCTTTAATTCTAAGAGTAGCACTGGCTAGCGTGTAACTTCAGCTGAGGTGACAGAAAATGACATGGCGTGAAGTGGTTACATTGGCACAGGGGAATGGAAGCTCTGGCTGGACTTGGAGAAACTGAGGCAGGTACTTGGGTTAGATAAGCTTCTTTCTTTTACAGGGGTTTCAGCAGCATTTGCTGTAAAGCTCTTCAAATCGTGGATAAATGAAAAAGACATCAATGCAGTTGCTGCCAGTCTCCGGAAAGTCAGCATGGACAACAGACTGATGGTTTGTGCCTTTTCTCCAGTCCTGCCCTCGATGGCGTGATGATAAAAATTTCCTGGATTTCATCTGAAATCTTCTCATTCGGTGTAGAGACCATCTAACTGATTGCTCTTTCAGGAGCTGTTCCCTGCCAATAAGCAAAGTGTCGAGCACTTCACCAAGTATTTCACCGAGGCAGGCTTGAAGGAGCTTTCGGAGTATGTCCGCAACCAGCAGACCATCGGGGCGCGGAAGGAGCTCCAGAAAGAACTTCAGGAGCAGATGTCCCGCGGGGATCCGTTCAAGGACGTAAGCTCCTCTGTGTCCACCGCTCTTTTTTTAATGTACATGTCTGCTGTCTGCCACATATGTGAGTGCCTGGTGTTTGAGTGGGTCAGAAGAGGAGGCTTCGTTCTCCTTGGAACCGGAGTTACGGGTCCTGGGGCAGCAGCAGTGCTCTTAACTGTCCATCCAGCCCTGTTTAGGCCATCTTTTTATGGCTACATTTTAAGTTTTACTCGCGACCCAGATATAACTTTGAAGACTTTGTAATGATAGGCCAGGGGTAGACATTTTTCATTTGGAACAAGTTTTGTTGTGGTGGTGGTGATTTGTACATTTATTTAGAAGGCTGGGCATTTGTACACTGATTTCCCGCCGTGTGGATCTGGGTAGTCAATCTTGGGTTGTCAGGCTTGGTTGCGGGCCCCTTACCTGTTTGCTGCGGCATCTCACCTGCCCGAGTCAGTTCGTATATAAAATAGCTTGAGCCTCAAGGTTCTGGCCCACGGCGATGGTCTTCTGTTTGTGTGCAGTACGGGTAGAATTTGCTGCCGGTTTCATGGAAAGGCTTTGTTTGTTCCCAGGCATGGGTTCACCATAAAGCTCTGTCTGGCCTCGGACTTCTTTGTAGACTACATTGGTCTCAAACTCAGAGATCTATCTGCCTCTGCCTCTCTACTGGGGTTAAAGGCACCACCCCGCCTGGCTGTAAAGTTTTTAATTTTACTTTTTATGCGCATTAGTGTTTTGGCGTGGATGTTGGGTCCCCTGGAACTAGAGTTACAAATAGTTGTGAGCTGCCGTGTGGGTGCTGGGAATTGAACCTGGGTCCTCTGGAAGAACAGCCAGTGCTCTAAAAGCCCCTGAAAAGGCTTTTTTATGCCTTTGAAAAATGTCTAAATTTGATGTGTAAAGTATGTTTATAATAAAAGTAGCCTCTGTTACTTTTTGGATTATTTTGCAGATAATTTTGTATGTCAAGGAGGAGATGAAGAAGAATAACATCCCAGAACCAGTTGTTATTGGGATAGTCTGGTCCAGTGTGATGAGCACTGTGGAGTGGAACAAAAAAGAGGAGCTTGTAGCAGAACAAGCCATCAAGCACTTGAAGGTACTGGGGTTGCTCCTTGGTGGAGCAAACTGTTACTTCAGGTGGTGGGTATGGACCCTCAGTGGGTAGTCATCCAAGGAGCTGGCTGTCAACATGTAGGCCATGACCTCTTTTAGGGGTGGGTTAAATGCTCCTTTCACAGGGGTCACCTAAGACAATCAGAAAACACAGGCGTTTATATAACAGTTCGTAACAGTAGCAAAGTTACAGTCACAAAGTAGTAACAATTTTCTGGTGGGTCTTACAATGGAGGAACGAAGGATCTCAGCAGTGGGAAGGTTGTGATCTGGTGCTCTAAAGGATTCACATTCGTGGCGCCGAGGGCGATCCACCGTAAGTAGACATTAGTGTTGACAGTGCTTTTTAAGGCTGACTTGGCTTCATTTGGTTCATAAATTAAAAACAATAACAGGCTTAAAAGTAATTTAAGCCTTGATTTGGTACTGCTGAGGAGTCGAGACACGGGAAGGTCCGCTGGAGCACACTCGCCTAAACGGAGCTCAGTTGTGTTCTTGTGCTCTGATACTTTTTAGTCCTGTCTTCCAGTGAATTGATTATAATTCACTGTGGTTACGAGGAGTTGCGTTCTGTATTGTAGGAATTCTGTAATGGATAACTACTGTAATGAGTAAGCCGTTGTTTGTTTCTCAAAGCAATACAGCCCTCTGCTCGCTGCCTTTACCACGCAGGGTCAGTCTGAGCTGACCCTGTTACTGAAGATTCAGGAGTACTGCTATGACAACATTCACTTCATGAAAGCCTTCCAGAAAATAGTGGTGCTTTTTTATAAAGGTAAATCTTCAGTCTTGTAAAAGTTGTCTTAAGTCCTTTAGAAATGAGGAGTGTCTGGACACGAGCTCCCCGTAGTCACAAAGTAAAGTAGTCATCTGTACTAAAATTGGGGGTTGTTCTGTTTGTGTTTGAGATAGGCCTGGAGCCTACAGGAAGATCCACCTGCCTCTGCCTCCCAAGTGTAGTGCAGCAGAATTGGGTGTTTTTACTTGGTACATTGCTGTTAGAACACTTGTGAGGCTTGTTGACAAGTTAAATAATACCACAAGTGAAAATCTCTCCACCCTACCTGCCTTACCCCACAGAAAAACAGGTGCCAAGTAGGCATTTGTACCTAATGTGCTTTGGTAGAAAGAGTGTGCTCCAGATTCTGCTTTGTCATTATTCGTAGCTGAAGTCCTGAGTGAAGAGCCCATCCTGAAGTGGTATAAGGATGCACACATGGCGAAGGGGAAGAGTGTCTTCCTTGAGCAGATGAAGAAGTTTGTAGAATGGCTCAAAAATGCTGAAGAGGGTAAGTCTTCCTCTGTAGATTGCTTGGAGATTGATTGTAGCGTGTGGTTTGTGTTGTCTTTTTAGACAAAACTTCATGGTGTAGCCCTGAATGGCTTTGAAGTCGTTGCTGTTCCCTTGCCCCTACCTCCCAGCGGCTAAGTTACAGGTACAGTGTACCTGCTGGGTATCGGTGCAGGGTGGCGCTGAGAGACCTCACACAGGCTTCTTTCCTCCCCTGCCACTCTGTCTGGGGAGGTTTCTGCTCTTTATATTCCCAGGGTTATCTCTTTCTGCCAAGAGGGGAAATTAGACTTTAACCATTGTAATATTCTTTAAAATTTTATTATATTTGTATTTAGTGTATGTGTATGAGTGTGGTCGCCACGTGTGGGAACAAGTTTCCTTCTGCGGGGATCAAACTGGGGCTAGATCTTACCATGGGGTCTTACACTAAACGGTAGGGAAATAGAGATTTTTGAGCTGCGTAAATGTCCACATGTTCTCAGTTGATGTTGGTCGAATTCTTACATGACTGTGAAGTTTTAAGTACTGGAAGCTGGCCTCCTGAAATGATGCTCGACTGTTTCCTCTCTCCTAGAGTCTGAGTCTGAAGCTGAAGAAGGTGACTGAATTTTGAGACAACATCCTTAGTAAAGCAAACAGGAGTTGTAGATAAATGTCATGTCTCATGTGTCCTGGTTCTCACATCTTCCTACCTCCCTGTATCGAGCATGATATAAGGGCTTTCATGGCAATTTTTATTTTAACTTTTTATGGTTCCTGGAAACGGTGGGTTTGGTTTCTGAAGCCGTGTGTAAGGAGCTGCAGGGCTGTAGAATTGAACCTGATGTCAGTTACCTTCTACCTCCTGTCTTTTCTACTGTAATGATGTGATGTGAGGCCTTCCGCAGTGAGCAGTTCACTTTATTCCCTGGGTTTTCTATAGAAACAGTTTTCGAGATATGATTTGGTTAAAAATAATTTGTTACAAAAATTCTGTTTGCAAATTAAACTGTAAAAGTATCCAAAGTCTCAAAAGGCAATGATTTGTGTGATAATTTAGTATGTCTAGAGCCCTGCTCATCAGTGAAGATCCTGTAGACAGTTGAATCCATAACGTGAATTCCGAGTGTTTAGACCTTTTGGTTCTATACAACCATTTTATTGTCCTTTATTTAGCCCAGATGTTGTATGCTCTCTGGCTCCATCCTTAGGAAAGCTATGGAGAGCAAACCTGAGTTTGAGAACTCACGCATGGCAGAGGGAGGAAGAAGAAGGCTGAGCTTTTTCCTAGAGACTTGTGTGTCCACTGCGTCTTTGCGGGTGGATAAAGTCGAAGCTCTTCACCCAGCTTTCTGCTCAGGACACAGCTGAGTACCATGAGGAAAGGGACCCAAAGGAAGCGCTCGCTGGTCACTGACCTGGAGCGAAGGGGAAAGGCGACACAGCCGTCTCCCGCCTGGCTGCACGGGCCTGGCTTCCTTTTGCTATATTCAAACACCTAGTAACACCCTAGTTGCTATTTTTTTAATTGCCATGAGCCAAATACTTTCTTTAAATGATTAATTCATTTACTTTAATGGCTGCCTTTTTCATTGCTTTTCTTTTTGCTATCCATCTGTAGTTGGTAGGGGGAAGGCTATAGGTGAACATTCTGAGTTTTTTAATTGGTAAAAGAGAATAGACTAGAATAATGCCACCAGAGACTAAGTGAAAATTGCCCATTTTTGAAGGTGCCATTCTTAGAAGCCAATAATTTGGTATTTAAAGCTTCTCTTGAGAGAATACCATGTAATATAATTTGAAATAAAGGTATATTAGCCTTGAGAACATTATAGCAAAATCATTGATGGGTGGGGTGAATTTGTGAAATGAATGACTTTATAAAGTTTCATGAGAGGCCAATGTATTCCCTAGATTCTGTGTAGTCGTCGCTGTTCCTTTGTAATTTGTAGTCCTTTAAATAAAGTCCATCCTTACATTTAGGTTTTATACATCAGTCTTTTTCTTTACCCCCAGCAAATCTCACTGATCCCTAATGGTGTGCGGTATGCTGTGCTTCCCGTTGTCCCCTGTGTAAGCGTTAGCAGTTCGTCCTGTCTCTGACTCCAGTGTAGCTGAAACTACATTGCCCTTTCTACACCCCGATCCTCGCATGTTACCGCCGTTCGAACGCACCGTTTATTATATATATACTGTGTATAGTGAAAGAGTGTGGAGTCTTCCAGAACTACATTATGATCTTTGATCATAGATTTTCCCTTCATACACAGTAGTGTTTACTTATCAATAATAGCACATGGGTAAGGCACCTGTGAATATAATGTAAAGGGAGCGATTTATAAAATGATTCTCATTTTGAATTTCAATGCCAACCTCTGGCCTCTAATATGTAATTCCTAGTAGAGATGTTGAAACTGCATTTAACCATGATGGGTAACTGTTGATTGACTTCCTGAGCTGGTGTCAGTCTCTTGGATACTGTACTGTGTATTTAGAACTGATGAGTGTCACCTCACTAGGACTGTTGTCCTTAGAAGTACTGTTCTTAGAAAACCTCCCGATACCAAGATGCCACATCTTTTACTTGGCACAGTGATGGTGTAAGGGGGAATGCATGTGACCAAGGGATTAACCACAGCTGTGTGCAAGCTTTTCATTATCAGAATCCCCAGACCTCCCAATAAATTTTAATATAGATACATTATGTGCCGTGTCTGTGCTTTATACATAGAATAAAAGTAGTTTTCATAGCCTCTGAGAACAAACTTACCATTGAGAAAGTGTTTTAATATAGCCTAAAGTAGTGAGGTTAATGTTTATTATTAGTCAGTGTAAAAAGCTTTTGATTTTTTCTATCAAGGTTGCTGGAAAAGCCCTCCCCCACACACACACCTCTCTCCCTCCCCTTCCCCCCACTCTCCCTTCTCTCCTCTCTTGATACTGGATATTGACCCAGTCTTGGTACAGATAGACTGCCATTGAGCCGTCTTGAGATGGTCTTATTAATGTACTCAGGGAGCCCTGAACTCCTGGTCTACCTGTGACGGGCAGTTCATGATCTGTATCTTAGCACCAGGCAAAGCCTTTTCCCTTGACCTTGGTGCTTTGTAAGGCTTTGCCAATCCTTGAAGCCAGATGAGGTGGGCATACCAGTAATCCTAGCAATGGAGAAAAGGCCTGTAAACTTGCTACAAGTCTGAGTCTAGTCCTGGCTGGCCCGAACTCTGCCTCTTTCTCCTCAGTGCTGGGATTAGTATGCATTTACCACACCCAGCATCAAACAGGTTCTCAATTTGATCGTGGATTGGGGACCAGGTATGCATATATGATCCTGTGGGTCATTCCCATCCAGACAACCACACTCAACATCTGTACTACAGCAGCCTGCTCTCAGAACCCAGAAACTTGGATCGATGTGAATGACAAGCCAACATTTGAGTGCACATTACTCCATTATTTGTGTTGTGAAACTTTATCCTAAGGTACTACATAAAATAAGCAACTGTGAAGTCTTAAATTGTTAGGATTTATAATGTGTGTGTGTTCAGTATTAGTCTTTTGTTAATTTTTTTTTCAAGGTTTTTTTTTGGGGGGGGGGGTGTTCTCTGTCTAGCAGCCCTGATTGTCCTGCAGTTTGCTTTGTAGGTTGGCCTCGAACTCAGATCACTGTGTGCCACCACATCCGGCTCTTATCAGTCTTAAATACTTAGTCAGTGTACTGAGGCCTTACTAGGGCTACTGTGAGCATGGAGACACATGCTTTAACCCAATACACAGGAGAAAGTGGCTGGCAGATCTGAGTGCAGGCCAGCCAGGGGTACAGTTTGTCTAAGAAAGGTGGAAATAGGCGAATAAAAATTTTCAGTAGGCATGGCTTAAGCAATCTGGAAAAATCTGGTGCTTTTGACTGGAAACAAATTTAGAATTTACTCTTTCTTGAGAAAAACATTATTAATAACTCTTAGCCAGCTTGGTGTAATTGGCGGGCTATACTTCCGCAGGGGAACCTTTTAGCTATGAGGCATTAAGTGTAATTCCTACTACAGCCAAAAGGCTTCCAGACTCCACTTCCATTTAACTATGGGCTGTGTCATGAGATCTGCAGGAGCCTGACCTGGAACTCACTCTGTAGACCCGGCTGGCCATGAACTCAGAGATCTGCCTGTCTGCCTCCTGAGTGCTGGGATTAAAGGTATGCACCACCACCACCTGGCCTCCAAGTATTTCCAATTAAATGGCAAAGATACTTCACAAATGTGCGAGGTTCTGTCATTCTAGTAGCTGTACTGTGGAGCCCCATGTCAGAGATCAGTGCTGGGCATATAATCCCAGCTCCCAGAGGCTGAAGCAGCCTGGGCCTAGAAGAGGTGGAAAAAAACGCGTAAGAATTCCTTGGTGGATTATCCCAAGAAGTGAAAGCTTGACACCACCATAAAATTTGAATTTATGGATTTGCTACAATTAGCAAGTACTATTTGAGTATCAGAGAAATCCCCATCAGTGCTGATTTAAAAATAAGTTGGCTTGGAGAGGTCACCAAATGGCTGTAAGACATGTAGGGGTTTCCCGGTTCTGTTCACTGACAGTAGAATCAAAGACATACACCATACCTGGCCTCAAATGTAATTTTTCTAGTTTTTACACCATTCTGAGCCTTCGTGTTGATGCTGGGAATCAACCCAGGTGGATTTTGGCCTTTCGAGATAGGGTTTCTCTATAGCTGTAGAGCCTTCCTGGAACTAGCTCTGCCGACCAAGTTGGCCTCAAACTCCCTGCTTCTGTCTCCCAAGTGCTGGGATTAAAGGTGTGTCACTAATACCCACCTTTAAGTATAATTTAAAAAATTTTAAACTCTTGAGATTGAAATGTAGTTCAAAAAAAGGTAGTTCAGCGCTGAATTTAGCACAAATGTGACCCCAGGTCCAAAATCTCATTGTAGGAACACTATCACAAAGTGTCAGTCATTATATGTGAGCCCTTTCCCGTGTGAAACCCTTTCATATATGTAACAGTACATACCGTGACCTTGATTTAGTGATATGGTTCCTAATGTACCTAAAACTAGGGTTTTGGTGTTGTGTGCACGCACACACATGCAGAGGTCACAGCAGGCAGCCGGGGGTGTCTTGCTCTATCCGGCTTCACCTTACTGCAGACCTCCACAAACATCTGAAGGAATTCGGTTTCTTCAGGGCGCTCTGGATCATTTCCACCACCCAAGAACCTGCCTGGGTGCCCCACACAAGTGCTGAGCATTTGAACTCAGATTCTTGTTCTAGCGCTTGCACAAATGCTCTTGCTCACTGAACCCCTTCCCCAACCCCAAGGCAAGGACTTCAAGGATTAAAGAATACCCAGGTTTACCTTTACAGGGTAGGAGAGAATTTGCAATTTTAAAAACCCTTTAAGGTATTTTCAATTCACAAATTTTAAGATTTTTGTTTTTGTGTATCCATGTAGGAATTCCAAAGATCAAACTCAGGTTGTTGAACTTATTGGCAAATGTCTTCATGCACTGAGTCTGGCTCAATTTTCAATTTTTGCCCCCAAGGCAGCTCTGGAGCTCTGGAGCCTGTCCTGGAACTCACTTGGTAGACCAGAATGGCGTCAAACTCACTCATGGAGATTCATCCACCTGTGTTCGCCTGGTATTAAAGGCATGCGTCACTACCACCTTGTCTCAATTAAAAATAAAGAAACAAAAACCCAACACACCCAAACCAAAAGATAAATGAGCACAGAGAGCTGAGGCTGTGTCCCACAGACATAAAACCCAGATAAAGCAAAGCACCACGCCTCATTCTACCTCCCTGTGTAGAGAGCCACCGAGGCTCAACCTCCAGCTTCCACAGGCAGTAGTTGTAAAATATTCTTAGTCATGAAGATAAAAACAAAAAACCTTGCTTTACTACAGGAACCTTGATTCAGAATAAAGCATTTCCAGACTCTAACTGCAGAAGCCGGGCAATGGTGATTTACTTGGGAGGTAGAGGAAGGTGGATCTCTGAGATCCAAGGCAAGCCTGGTCTGCACAGTGAGTTCAACAACAGCCTTAGCTACAGAAGAAACCCTGTCTGGGGGGGATGGGGGGACACAACTCCCTAAAACAAAAGACAGCACACCAAACTGTACAGACTTTTATAAATTCTTAAGCACAAAGTTTATTCCAAATTAGTCATTCTATGATTACTGAAAGATGCTTGTTGTTTGGCTTGGCCATGTATTTAATAAATCATATAAACAATAAAAACACTAAGAAATGTACAAAGCTATACAAATAATTTAGTATTTACAACTGGACTGATGCAGTCTGTAAGATCTCTCTCAGAGCATGCTGACACTATGTGTCTTTTCTAAGGGGGGAAAAGAAAGGGTGCTTTAAGGCTTCCCTCAGAGTAATCCTCTTGGCTGGGTCGTACTCCAACATTTTCCCAATGAGGTCAAAGAGAAGCTCGTGTTCTGCATCCTGAGATAGCATAAACTCCTGGAACAGAAAACATTCTTACCATCTGCTGCACACAAAAATCAGAATCATGGGTTACTAGCCGCCTCCTTCTCTAAACCATCATTAAAATGTCTCTAGAAGAAAGGGGGGTGGGGGATAAGCCATGTACAATACACAGCTGTGAACCTAGGAGGTTGATTAATGGCCTGGACTACACATTAACAGACTAGCAAGACCCTGTGTAGAAACAAAACTTAAAACGAGATAGATTGTAGGTCAGCGGGAGACTATGGAGGGCCAGGGTTCAACCTCTACACCCCTAAAGTGGGGTCAAAGCGGGAACATGCAAGTCCTGGTTATCTCGACTGTCCGAGCTTACCTTCAGAGGTTTACAGCGCCGTGAAACGTATCTGCCAGCAGAACTGTGTTCATCCCAATCTAATCGATCACGATGGAAATATTTACGTTTCCTGAAACAGTTATAAACATTCACATTGCTATTTTACTATTTTTTCGAGCCTAAAAAGATATGAAGTAGCATCAAGTACTACATTTTTCCAGGTTAAATCCTTTGAGAGATTTAAGACCGTGGCTAAGCAACAGAAATGCTAAATTATTCACCATTAATAATGTAATATGCTATTTAACTGAAAAAGAAATTTTTTAAAATAGCGGTATTAAAGATGCTATAACTCAAGTAACACATACCTGGTTTTCTGTATCATGTGCTTTGGCAGTGGTCCAAGAATCCTTTCCATCATTGCTAAATGTTCCCTGCTATCGTGAGTCTACAATAGAAACATTTGTTAACCCATGATCCGTATAAACCACACCCACTCTACAACCCAACTACTCAGAAGTCACAAGGCAGAGTCATCAAAATGGCAGAGAGCAAAACAGTGTCAAAGCCTGAAGTCACTCACCGGAAAAACTGTAAATCCAAGATAATACTCAATAAGGATACATCCTATACTCCAGACATCACATGGTTGAGACCACCCTAGGGCTGCAAAGCAAAGCAGTGTTAGGGAGAAACCTCCACATCTCCGAAAGACATTTCAGAGTAAAATTGCAAAGACCAAGTTCTGAATATAGTGTGACATCCTGTCCTCTAAGTGTAAGTTGCTGGATTCCATCTTGCACTTTGACTTTTGTTCACAATACCCCAGTATCCCTGACTTATTTTGGTGCATGGCAGACAGTAAGTCAGACTCTGGAGACTGACCTGTCTTGAGCAGGGAGGAATTCCTGACTCGACCCTCAGGTGCCGGGATTATAGACAATCACACCTGGATTTGTCTGAGCCAATTTTCTCTCTCTGTCTCTCTCTCCCCCTCTCCCCCCCCCCTCGGTAATTTAACTTTATTTTATGTGCATTGGTGTAAAGGAGTCAGATCCCCTGAAACTGGGATTACAGACAGTTGTGAGCTGCCTTGTGAAGTCCTTTGGAAGAGCTTGACCAACAAGCAATCTCTACAGTCCCTGGTCTGAACCAATTCTAAGATGCACAATTAACAACATAGTAACAATTATTTTTGAAGGCTAAGCCACATGCTAGCTCCATAGCTGGTAAGTAGAGATTTCAAGATTTTTTTTTTTCATACAGGATCTCAGTATGCGGCCCAGGCTGGTTTCTAATTCAAGAGAACTACCAACCTCTGATTAAAGGTGTATGCCACCATGTCCAGCAATTTGAAGACACTTTAACATAATTTTTCCTTTCGGTTTTTCAAAGAAGACAGGGTTTCCCAATAGTTACAGCGCCTGTCCTGGAATTCACTCTATAGACCAAGCTCTGGCCTTGAACTCACGAAAATCCACCTGCGTTTTGTACAAAGTGCTGGGTTCAAGGTATGTATGATCACCGCCTGGCTTAACATAATTTCTAATACTGTTTTTCTATTTTGATAATCCTGGGTATTGGCAGGTTAGACAAGAGCTGTACCAGAGCTACATGATAAGACTGTAAACTGAATGTTGGCTATCATAAAGCAATGTGGGCTGTTACAGCATAACAAGCACTGACCTAAAATAACTTCGGGTGCTCGGTAGTGTCTTGTAGATACCAACGTACTGTGATGTTCATCATCATACGTTGCACTTCCAAAGTCTACAACTTTAATATCTGGATTTATGACGGTACGTTCATCACGCTTCTGAAAATCGTAAGCGACAAATGAAAAGACAAACTATCGAAACAAAGTATTTACAAGCACCACGACAATGTTACAAGGACCACGACAATCCTTACCATTTTGGGATTATAAGCCTCCGTGTAGTCAGATTGCACAAATAAGATATTTTCAGGCTTTAAGTCTGTGTGAGTCAATTTATTGCTGTGCAGAACTGGAAAGAAGCACAGAGTCACTACAGTCTCACAAACACGAAACCACAGGCCTGACATCGTAAATTATGCTTAGAATCTTAGTACTCAAAAGTTGAGGGTATAAACATCCTAAGTCTTAGTTTAGTGACAAGGTCTCTCTATATAGCCCTGGCTTTCCTAAATCTCACTCTGTAGACCAGTCTGACCTTGACCTCAGGTATTCACCTGTTTTTTGAGTGCTGTGCTACCTGGCTGAGACTGTAGTAAACTGGGCAGTCTGCTAAGAGTACTGGTGAACTTCAATTCTCAGCACCCTTATCAAATGGTCCAAGGAGATCTGACAGTGATTACCTGCAGTCATGTGTGTGTTGCGCACACATGAAAATAACAAATAATAACCCCCAAACCTCTGGTGTCTTCCTATGTTCTGTAAGACATAATCTCCGTTTATAAGAAAATTTACCAGAGGTGTGGGGAAATACATGCCTGATAATGAGTTGTTTATCTATCCACAACACTCAGGTGGTTCATACTAGGGCAGGATCCTGGACCTGAGGTTATACGATGAGACTGAAATTCATCATCCCCCAACTCCTGTGACACTGGCTGTGGTGGTAGCATACTCTCTAATTTCAGCACTAAGACAGAGCACAAGACTAGCTGGGACTGCAGTGAGACTATGGCTACCATCTGTAATCGCAGCACTTAGAAAGGTCAGAGGGCTGCCAGAGGCCAATGGTAGCAGGAAGTTCAAAATTATGTTTAAAACTATGTAATGAGAAACTCTGTGGGGGAGTCTAATGAAGCGGAGATTTGTTTCATTTAAAATTTCCAGAGCTCACACTAAATCAGTCTTAAGCATATACCTTTCTTTTGGTTGACAGGGTTTTTTAATGCGGTAGTCCAGGCTGGCCTCAAATCAGATAAAGCCATAAATGGCCATCTACCAAGGTAAATTACAGGCATAACCCCACCATGCCCAGTTACATAGCGCCAGAGAGCAAACCCAACACTTTGGACATGGTAAGCAAACACTATCGACTTATCACACTCCCGACCTCCTCTGAAGATTGAACTAAGGATGCATGCCTGCTTAAGTCACATCTCAGACTATGCACTATATCGCTATTTATACAGTTAAGAGGCACATTAAATCTTTTTTTGTTTCAAGACAAAGGGTTTCTCTGTGTAGCCCTCGCTGTCCTGGAACCAGTCTCTGCCTCAAAGTGTTGGGATTAAAGGTTTGCCACCACCACTTGGGCTTTTTTGAAGATTTTTGTTTGTTTTTTCAAGACAGGGTTTCTCTATGTACCTTTGGAACCTATCCTAAACTGATCTACAGACTCAGAGATCTACCCTCCTCTTCCTGCCTGAGAACTGGGATTAAAGGCGTGTAACACACCACCACAAAGCTTGAACAGATTCTTCACAAGCTTTCTATCTTTTAACCACCATCACCCACCCCACAAATCCATTCTATTCTCAGACTAAACTTTCAAACCCCTCACTAAAAGATCTCATCTTTTAGTCTTCTGTGGTCATGGGGACAGAACAAAAAGGCCTCATTTCTGTACTGAACTACAGCCTTCAGCCCCACCAGGTTCTCTTTTTAAAGATCCAAATTAATCTGACATTAGTTTCACACTAAGGTTTGGAAGGCATGTCAAGAACTTACAATTAACAGATCTGCAGATCTGATACGCCATCTTCCTAATGTGATCCATTCGAAATGGCAGAAAACCGTTTTCCTTAATGAAGTCATAAGTACTGAGACCCAGAAGTTCAAACACAATGCAAATGTGACCACGATGCTCAAACCACTCCAACATCTGCACACAGCGGCTATAAGCACATAAAAAAATAACTCAATAGAGCTTTCAAATCTACCTGAGACTATTTCCCAAGTTTGAATTTGATACTTACAAAGTACTGTGGGGATCTGTTGTATTTAAGTGTTCCAGAACTTGTATTTCTGATCGAGCGGCTTCACAGTATCTATCCACATTTTTAACTATTTTTACTGCTACATGTCTACCTCCCCTGTTAGAGAGAATAAAATCCAAGTTAAAAAGGTGATAATCCAAGCTGGGTTTTTAATCCCAAGCACTGTGGAGACAGAGGCAGGAGGATCTCTAAGTTTGAGACCAGCTTGGTCTATAGAGTTCCAAGACAGCCAGGGATAGAGGCCCTGTTTCAAAAAGAAAAAAAGCAGATATTGCAATTCGAAGTTAGCAACAAGATAACCTTTCACTGTACCAGAATCAGTAATTTCACCATTTACTAAATAAGAAAGATTAACCATATCACTACAAACTTATCCTTTGTTCCTTCAATTAAGGAATATATATTCTTTAATTGGCATATATATATATATATATATATATATATATATATATAAAAATACTATTTAGTTGGCTTTGTTTAAAAAATGTAAGAGACCAGGTTTTATGGTAAAGACCTTGGATCCCAGCACTGAGTTCCAGGCCTGCACAGTAAGACCCTGTCTCAAAACCAAACAAAGGAAAAGCAGTACCTTTACCTATGAATTTCTTACAACCTAAGTCAAAAGACCCAAGCTAAAAAGTTTGTATGGGTGTCAGCTAAACTAACTTTCTCTATGGAAGAACCCCAAGGCTCTGAAACTTACGCTTTATGATCGATGCACTCCACTACTTTCCCAAAGGCTCCTTCACCCAGAGTATCAACAACTTCATCTAAAAAAGAGAAATACATCTCACTCATAACAAGAAGTGGAAACAACGTACTTAAAGCTATCAGTGCAGATTATTCTAGGAGATGCTACAAATTTCCTCATCTTTAATTACTTATCATCCAACACCATCCAAAAACATACAACTATTCTTATAATTGATTTCATTCTCAGGCTAATTGCATTAACTTCATTTACTGCTCTGGAATTTCTGTACAACAAATATTAAAACTCTAAAGAAAGACACAAGCCCCTCCCACCAAAAGAAATGAAAACAAAGCAAAACAAAACAAACAGAAAGAAAAGATTTCCAAATCCCTAAAATCTTAACCTATATACATATATACAGATTGTTATCTGAAAAGTGAATAAGTGTTGAAAAGTATTCTATACATCTTGCACTTAGTACGTCTCCACTCTGACAGATCAGGTGACCCTCCTCATCATCCTCTACACTCCTCGATCTTTTCCTTCGGTGACTCTTCTGGAAACGTCAAGTGGGCGGCACCAACATCATCCAGCCAATCAATATACCCGAGTGAATTCAGGGCAGAATACGAAATTCATTCAGCGGGGAGATATTCAGGCATTCAGATACACGCCAGGCCACAAACGGTTGGCAGGAGCAATTTCAAATTCAGTCCCCAGAAATTCACAGGGCACATAGTTTATGTTACAGGAGAAAAACATGGCAAGGAACAGATTTTCAGATAAGATACTCAATATGGTAAGGCAACAAAACACAAACACAATTGTTTTTCTTTTTAAAAAATGCTTATCTGTAGCATTCACTGAAACATAATTTTAGGTTTCTAGTGTCCTTATTTCATACTGCAACTGTAGGATGTAGTATTTATTTTTAGCACACTGTGGCCAAATTTAGGTTCCCTCGCTAAGAAAACAGGTATTAAAGCAGTAAACCACAGTGCTAATTTTGGGAGGGAAAAAAGATTTGGCACATAACATTATAGCATTTAAAGCGTCATCTGTTATAATTTTCCAATACAAGAAACTAAGTTCAAATCTGTAGTTCACTTAATGAGAAAAAGATTACAAAACAGGTTAAGTAAGTCAACTAACCCTCACACAAATACCTAATTTTTGTGATAAACTGAACTCATCAAAATAAGACTTAAAATAGCATTAAGAAAAATTTTTTTAATTATTTTTAAGTCACCCCCCCACTAATAAAATGGCAATTAGTAACTAAGGAGTCTTTAACAAACCCATTATTACAGAATTAAATACATCTTTTTGTGAATTCCCTATGCAGTGCACAAATTCTAAAAACACTCCTGGCACACTGGAATTGTGATGTGTAATCAATCTTAACTTTTCTCAACACAAATCTGTTTCCTGTCTGTGGGAAATAAAACCTCCAGAAGGTTAAAAAGTGCGCATACCCCATGTGAGCGACGGTGGGAAGAGCTGTGGTGGATCCTGTGTTTACTTTTGAAGCTGCTCTGTCCACTTCTACCAGAGGACTTGCTACTATGGTTCTGATATCGGCTTTCATGCTCTCCATAGTAATAGCCCGGCTCACAGCCCATGTAGTCGTTCCTGTACTCATCAACGTAGCGCCGGCTATGATACGCTCTCTCGTTTATGGATCTGCTCCCCAGATAATAGCTACAAGAGAAGTTTGCTTTATACACCAAAACAAACCACACAAAAACCCAAGTTCTCTCTGCAGCGTAGGGGACTGAACTCAAGGCCCTTGCCCAAGCTAAGGATTCCACCACTAATCTTTAATCATGCAACTGAGTGACCGCAGTTATGTGGTCCCCAGGGTTCATGCGTGGCGGGCAAGCCATCTACATCTGAGCTACATTACTAGCTGTTTTTCAAAACAGGGTTTCTCTGTGTGGTCCTGGCTGGCCTTGAGCTCAGAGATCCGATGGGATTAAAGGTGTGTGCCAACACTGTTCTGGCTGGTCAAAAGCAGTTATACTGAGTGTGCCTGAAGAGCTGGGAACCCAGCCGTCTTCAGCAGGTGCTGCCAGTGCTCTGCGCGCTGAGCCCTCTTACCCATCGGTTGTTCTGGAGTGATCGTATCTGCATCGCTTATGCTCCCGGGCACTGCTGTGTGATCTCCTTCTCTTACTGCTGCTGCTGCTCCAGGCTCCATAATCCCAATCTCTCTCATCCCAGGCAGGATAGTAAGTTCTCTGTAGATGTCTCATCTACACAAGACAAATGGTCCTAATGAAATTCGATTTCTGTGATGCTCACCAGTAAAAGCTTCCTTTGCAAATCCATGCTAGTTTTGATTTTTTTTTCCTTTTAACCCCAAATAATCTCGCTCTAGAAGTCCTGGAAATTCGTAGACCATGCTGGCCTTGGACCTCATATCTACCTGCCCCTCCCTCGGTAGTACTAGGATTAAAGGCATATCATGCCCAGCATTGGCCTTTGGTTTTAAATCCAAGTTTTGAAATTGTTGTCAAATATCTGAAATCATAAAAATTACCGCACTGTCTCAGATTCTGGAATCTGATTTTTTTTCTCACATTTTCTATCTCGTTCTCACCGTGCCCAAACATAAAAAAGTAGAGAGGTTTCTAAATAGCCCAGGTAAAATTTCACCACCACCCTTCCAGAAGGTTCACACAATTCAATTCCCCCAAAACACCCGAAACTAACCCTAACTTTTATCTGTTTAGATGTGTTTGTTACAGCTCAAAACTGCCGTTCCCCAGGTGACCTCATTTTTCAATGCTCCTTCAAGTAAATCTCCACTGTTAGCAGAGGGAGACAGGAAAAAATATGGAGACGTGGGAGGGAAAAGCCCGAGAAGGAAAATATGGGAGTATGCCCAACTGGCTTTGGCTTGCCTTTCGTGCTGAGCCAGCAAACTTCAGGCCTCACTAATACAACCAATTTACTGACAGGGCAGCCGTGACGATGACGGCAATAAAATTGTTTACTGCAGAGGGGAGATGATTCACACTCGTAGGGCGCTCCCCTCCTATTTCCTAAAGGTAAACAATGCCCCTTCCGAGTACATTTTACAACTTTCGTTTACAAAGGAAAACAATATTTTAACCTTTAACACTGTTACAAAGTACACCCTTTGAGCCCTGTCTAAATAAGGATTTCACAATCTCTGGGGCTACCTAGATCCTAAACCCGTCTTTACGAGCCCTGCTCCTGCGCTTTCTGCACCAGCTCAACTGGATTGACTGACACCGGCGGTCTTCTTAGTTCTTTTCTTCCTCGAGGCCGGCTTTCACCTTGGAGGAATCTCCAAGCTGCCCCCACAGCGCCCACACCGGCCTGCGAGGCCCGCGTGGGTGACAAAGACAGAAAATCGGCCCCGAGACCGGGTTTCCTCGCCGCCACCGAGAGCGAGCGGCGCGGAGGCCGCGCCCTGGCGACGCCATTCCGCGGGGCGAGCGCGGCC